ATAGATTTCATTCTTGACGGAAGAAGCAGTTCAAGATATCTGCCTAAATATCTTTCTGGCCTGAAGTAAGCACTTCAAGTAGACCCTGTTTTGGTAAGTGATGCGTAAAGCGGACTCAGTCACCTGACAGCTTCCTTGAGCACACAGCTGCGAAGGCTGTTAACGGCCGGAAAGTAGAAGTTATATGGAACCCACAAATGCGGTGAATTCACTAGTGGATTAGAGAGAGAAGCCATAGAGAAAGTCTATCGGTCTTGCTATACAGGCTCGATCGTCGCCGGCGATGGTGTCATCTAATCAGAGTTAACTAGGAGGATCGTCCTTGCATTCGGTGTCATTGGAAACCTATGGAGTGAGAAAGGGTTTGCCCTTACGACAAAAAAGCCGCATCTGCCTTGCCTCTGTCAGGTCACTGTCGTGAAGTCCGTTGTTCTAACGAGGGGAAAAGAACGACTAGGGAATTGCAGGCATTAATATTGGCTTCGACGCATAATGAGAGTTAAATGGCAGGGTCGCGACGGGAATGATTGCGTTAATTTCCATGCATAGTTCACCTCAATAAATGTAGAGAATTAGAAAAGGAAGTTAGTCCTGTTCGACAAACCGCTAGAGCAGACACGATTTACTAAGCCCGCGAGCTTCTGATTTCGAAGTCGAAATACAACAAAGGTTATCGAGGATATAGCATTCAACATTGAGGAGTACGGTAGAGGTAGATCTGCTTTCGAAGAGCAATATTTGATGCGGTGACAAAGGATTGTGGTTTCTAACAAAGAATTTCTAACACTGCCAACACAACAGACATTCGAATAAACTATGTGCGTTTCCTTATGTAAACAGCTCCAGATTATGATCACACGTGCAGAGACGCACAAATAGTTGAAACGTTGCCTTCAAGTCAACTTGAAGGGGTTACCCCAGCTATGCTGCAGCCGTTTAGTGAGAAATGCGAAATTTGACATACCATTGAGTATTAGTGAATTATTAAACTTTGCTAATGTCTACTTTATGAGGTAGGACCAACAAATGGCAGACCCAGTTTTGAAGTAGTATTAATGCTGTTATGAATTTCGATTACGCCAATAGGTGTCAGTACGTTGTTAATCATCTCAATATGTTGATTGACCGGTTGAGCGTTCAGCCAGCATGTGTGAAGCACGTGAAAACCCCACATGACTTGCATGTTATAGTAAAACAGACAGTGTAGCATGTCTATGATCTAGCCTCGACTGTTGATCAGTTTCATACGCTGCACCTGTCTCGATGTGCCTGTCCGGACAAATACCGTAGGGCCGGTTCCATTCGACTGCCTTAGAAACTTTTCGAAAAGCGAAGCAGCGTGACTTCGTATGGGAGTTCCTTGGGACTAAATCTTATACTCCTATCCGAGTTACCGCATTTGCGACCAGCAATGTTCCCTCAGAGTTCGTCGCGTGACTTTGAGCAGCGTTGTGAGTGAGTTGGGTAGCGGTCAAGAAGTTTTTTAATTTATACTTTGTTCGCCGTGCTGATTTCACTCAAATTTTTGAGGTAGTGAGTGCAAACGTCACCGCCTAAAGTTTCTTAGACTCTGATATGACGGCAGCAAGAGTCACACTGCTGAAACTGGTGCCATCGCCTTCCTGACTGTTTTTCTCCCTGCTGCTCTGGAGCAGTGACGAGATGGTGCAAGAACGAATCCTTTTTTTCATTCCTTTCGGGAACGGCCTCTCTCGATGAGTGTAGCGTAGTAAATAACCTTCCTGTCGTTTGAAACTGATTGTTCAGTGCGGGTGTAGTTTGTTTTCTCCAATCGCTGAGGTAACGGGTGTCAGGTAATGTCGCCACATTTCATAGTTTTACTCTAGTTTCTGAGCATCGGCGTGTGGAGGACCGTATCCCGAGTCTGGAGCAAAGTTCACTGGTGTCCTTGCTTAAGGTTTTTTTGATCTTTCGTTTATGAAATATCTGCTTGGTTATCATCTCTATGATGGCATTTTGCGTCTTAAATTATTGTAATTTCTGTATTTCAATCGGGCGAATGAAAGGGCTCAACTTCAATGGCTCTTTGTCTTTCCTCACAAAGCACTCATTACCACCTCCTTTACTTGCGAATTGTTGGCTTCATTGAGTGCGAAGTTGTATTCCTGCCCTGTATTGCTTTAACCGTAGTGAATTCTCCTGTGCAATGAATGCATCGCACAGTGCATCAGTGCTACCAGTTATCGATAAACAGCTGACGGGTCGTCTATCTCTGAATAATCAGGTAGTACGGTGCCCCGGCGTGGTCATTTCACGACACGCGACAATTACAGCCACGTTCTCTGATGTTTACGAGTTAGTGCTCAATGTTTCCTGACCCGTCCGCGAACAGCACGACGTGCAAACGGTAAATAAACAAGGGACCTTTAATGGATTGGTGGTACAAGCAACTTCATCCATGCGTACTAACTTTTTCGATTGCACTCCAATGGCGGCCGTGATGGTTTCGTCAGAATGTCAAATCCTCCAGTAGTGGTCAGAGTTGACGTCTGATGACAAGGCTAACCTCCCTTCCGATGGTGATAGTCTGCGGTGACCAATGGGTATCACGATGCTGCTCAGGTTTTGGTCTCCGTACACTTCAAACGATGGTCCAATACTTTTGTAATACTGTTTGATCTTTTGTATTTATAATTGTCGTCGACACAGATGTTCAGGACGATTACGCCATAGAACGGTGACCTCTAGAAACACCAGCGGTGAACTGCTGTACGGTCGATCATGTTGTTTCAACTATGCATCCTACGGGATAGTATAATCCCTGTAAGGAGCACCAACTCCTGAAAGGTCGTTCTTGAAGAGCGCAAGATGCATGTGTTCAAATACATGAAACCGTGACCTGCTTAAAATACCGCTTAGGCAACCAAGGGCAATGATATGGTGCAGTGCTTCCTGAAATCTGATCTTGGAGGAGTCATGACTTATCAGATACCGTTATCATACTATAAAATATTTTCAAACTATCTGCCCTAATCTCTTATGATAATCGTCATAGTTTGAACCCGGCCTTTTTTAATGTTATGCGTATATTTGCATGAATGACACATGCTTACATGTATCTCTACCTCTTTATGTTATCATCATGATGGAAGGTTAAGCGGTGGCTGAACAGTAGAGTTAGCCGGATTCATTATGTACTGATTTAATTTATTTGTTAGTGATTTTTATTTTAGAATAGTACAATGATCTGTGAAACGGTACATATTTATTAGACGTGCTTACAAGTATGCACCGTATTCTGTATTTCACTAACCGTTTATTCATCACTGATCGAGCCGTATGCTTTGTCTTTTGGAAGTGTAAGCAGTATCGATAATTCATTTGCAAACAGGCATGTCTTTCCCAGAAGATTACGTATCAGCTTATAAGTCAATGTTACCCGTACAGCGGTTTGGCCAGTGATGGTCAGAGTTATAGTTATGCCACGCCAGAAGGTCCTTACTGAACCGTGAGGCATTTGCTCCTATGCTAAACAATGAGAGAGTGATTAACCGTGATAAAAAATGGCGCTCTTATAAAAAAAAAGTGCAAAAAATTAAAACCATCAAAGAGTAGAAAAGTAAGCTATGCGCGTGCGTGTGCAATATCGATGCAAGGGATAATTTTTGTGCGATTGTAATTTTCAGCATTCTACTCAGAGCTTATTTGTTACTTATTGGAATCCAGTAAGGAACGAAGTTAATGAGGAATAACAGATTTGCGAAACATCTCTCAAGTGTAGTTCGACAAGTCCCGTCGTATGAGGAACTTCCTTCAGGCATATGTTTGTACAGTGGTCGCTGTTCTTCGTTCAAGTCTTGTTCGTGAAGCCTGTTGTGCTGAAAATTAGTGTCGATCAGCCATGAAGCAATATTCTGGAAATTTTGTTCACTATTACGTACTAGAAATGTGATGCAACCGCTTAAACAATGAGGCTTCTGACACTTGTGACCTCAAAGTATGCGAAAGAATATCGATGGAAGGAAAATTCTCATTTGAGAACTTCCCGTAAGAACTGAATTTGTCAACTGAACTGATGTCAACTCAACTTGTCCATTGTCAAGCGAAATATGCAGTACTCTTTAGTCAGGGGTTCGTCTATCGTTTTGCAATAAGGAATGTTTATTGACAAATTCACTATTAAATTGGCATTCTAAGCTATTCTTCCATTTTCAAGACTCTTTGATCAGTGAATCTTATGGATGCTTCCCTCAATGGCTAAACCAACTAAACCGTTTGTATATTTCCTCAGGTGTATTTTGAAAAACTGTCTGGGTTCCTGTCCCAGGCTACATTTTCAGTGAGTTCGATAAAAATTTCGGCCCATGGACGCCCCTTTGGTTTGTATGAAAAACTCACTGTCGAAGAAGAAATAATTTGCTTCTGCCAAGCAAACATACTTCTCGATCGAATGAGCAGATTTATTAGTGCACTGTTTCGTTTCATACTGTTTCATATAAAGAATTCAAGATTCAACGGATACCCTATATTCTTAATGGCACAAGGAACATACAGTCATTAAAATGAGGGACCTCACAGGCGCTTACTTCGAATAGAAGACTTTATAACACAATTGCTTAAGTTTTTCAGAGATACAAAGTTCAACTACTCTGTTGTATATTGCTTCTTAAAGAAATTGATATATTAACCGGACACAGAATCAAGAAGTTTGATGAACAGCTTAATAATGATACTGTTTGTTATGAATTTGCCACAGGATGCTGCTAGCTTGAACAGTCATATGAGTATAGACCCGCAAAATTCTAACTGTTGCCTACTTTGTTAATTGCTTTTGTGATGATCCGTCTTGATTGCAAAGATGTTTAATAAACAGGTAGAGATTGTCCGTTGCTTGTAAAGAAGTATGGTCGGCAAAGAGGTTGACAGTACAATAGTGATATTTATGTTTGCAAATGTTGCTTTAAAAAACTAAGTGAGTAATACGATGTTTGTCATTTGTCACTCATATTTGTTTTTCACTTTCAGTCAGTGCCTTCAAGATGCCGCTAGATCGGTCCGTGCTATTGAGTTCGTCTCCTCCGATGGCTACGTTCATGCCGCTGGACGCGAGTAAGTTCGCGTGCAGCGACGAAAAGGGCCCAGTATACGGATGCAGACAGAGCATTAACCGCTGCGATTTCCCGGTGACGCAGTGTCATATTATTCAGACGTCATCGCCACTGTTGCATGAGAGCACATCGAGCGAGTCGATGACAATGTGCCCTTGCCCTCAGTCAGGGACGAAGGTCAGTTTTTCGATGAACGATCTGCGGGAAGAGTTGTCAAGTTTAGTCGACGAACGGAGAAGTTCGCAGAACGGTGCCAAGGCGCCAGCGCCGTCGTCCACCAAGTCGACGAAGAAGGTGTCGTTCGCCGACGAGTACGGCTACCAGCTGGTGACCGTGCGAGTGATGACCGAACCTTCGGACGTTCCTCCGAGGATCAATTCGGCCATCATCCGGGCCTTGCTCGGCGATAAGATGGAGGAGGCAGAGGCTCGTCCGGCAAGCACGTGGAACATCAACTTCACGCAGCCGGCGTCGGACTACCTGAACTTCCGGCGTAAGATCGACGAACGCAGAGTAGCGTTGGAGAACGTTATTGTAAAGAATGAACAGTGCAAACTGACCGGCACGATCAAGGTCAAGAACGAATCGTTCGAGAAGGAGGTGTTCGTACGCTTCACGGACAACGACTGGAACTGCTACAACGACCGAGCAGCTAAATACCTGCCCAGTGTGCATGACGACTTGTTCGACACGTTTCAGTTTGAGTTCGAAATACCGTTTGACGACGAGCACCACCAACGGCTCGAGTTTTGCGTCTGTTACCGGACGGCCGGACGCGAGTACTGGGACAACAACGACGGCGCCAACTTCGAGGTAGTCAGCGAGCGCCTACTGAAGAGTCGCAAGACCCGTACTCAACCGTCACTCATGACCCGAAACCCCTTCGACATGTGCCAGCACAGTTCTGACGCCTATTCGCTGAACTTCACTAATTGGACGCAGTTCGCCAGCTGGAGCCACCTCACCCAAGAAGGACCGTACTGGTGATCACTTCGCCGACTACAAGGTTACCTGCGCCTGTACGCCTTTACTTTACTACTCTTAACCTGTTCTTTACTGTACCACCTTATTGCGCATCTGCCCATTGTTTGTCTGCATGTTAAACGCGCACACGCTTACGCAACTGACCTGGCCTGACCCTTTTTGGGTTTCTGGTCCAAGGATCAAACTAACCATTCGCAAGTTAGCGACGGTTCTTCAGTCAAAAAAACCGTTAACGGAATCCCACACCACTGTACCATGATTTTGTTCGTTTGCTGCCTTCGTCACTACTGGTAATTGTTTGTGGATCTAGAAAACACACTGATTTGTGTGCCTTTCGGTCTCTGACCTGGCCGGCAGATTGACTGTTGCTTAACGCGAGCTCACAAAATCTGCGGTCCTGTTTTACGCGTTTTTAACGTTGCCACTGCGGGCGGCGACTAGTGCCTCATTTTACGTTCGAACAGAATTTTCCGTCAGACGTACCGATCTGCTCTGTTTCTATGAATGTATTAATTCCGGCTACTCAGCGTTTTCTTTCGCCTTGTGTAACATAACTGAACTTTGTCTTGTGCTTACACGATTTGCTATTATTCTACATCTGTTGATTTCCTGACTCATCATTTCGTATATATTTTTTATATACATGCATCTGTAACAAATACCGAACGTAACATAATTCAGCATCACAATTCCATTGTCCTTGACTCGGTCGATCCTGTTCAGTCAGATCAGGGTCACTTCTCCTGTTCTGACGTAAGGGGCAATCGCCCTATAGGGAATTATGTGCTGGCTTCCGCCCTGCAGATCGACGATCTCTTCTTTCGATTCATCGGTCGGGTCTGACAGACGAATGTCTTCAATCATTTGATGTACTTTGATGAACACAGCGCTGTCCAACTGCGGTCGGGGTGCTAAACAAGCAGAAAGGCTAGGATTAAATAACGATAACGAAATACGATGCGATAAATAGCTTCTATCCTTCGTATCGATACCACATTTGAAAGCAGAAACCGGAAATATTAACAGAAAGGAAAAGAAAAATTCCTGCCTAAGCATATTTAAAATGTTTTTATCAAAGCAATTCTAGTTAAGTGTATTTTCGTTTTTCTTGCTCTTAATCATAATTAGTGTGGAAAATGAGTGTGATTATCAGGACATTAATCTTAAACCAGAGCTAGTGCTTTATCCATCTTCAAACCTTATCTTATACCGAGACGTAAGCAATCCAATAAGTTCAAAACGTAAGACGCAGGACCTTTCACAATACAGTTTCTGACTTAACAAAACGAGGGGCACATTTCAAGACTGAACGGTACGTTACCGGAAAAATCAACCCGTACACAGCAAGATCCATGGGGCACCAGTCAGGCACACGGTTCATCACTACAGAGTCCCATTACTGGATGGACGATTGCTTCAATGAGGGTGTGCGCTACATCTGTGAACAGCTGTACGGGCTTGCACTTCTGGTAGATGTTGCATCCGCTCGACGAGAGCTACTCTTCTCGTAGTGATGCAGGTTTCCAATGAAGTAGACCTGTTCGACCACTCACCTCAGTGCTAGCAATGCCACTCTGGCCACTTGAAGTTTCACCGACACTTCATATAAAATGTTTTAAACCTTCTGACGCTTTGCTTCAACAAGGTCCACAACCAAAAGCAGCAGCATTTGGCAGTCGCGCTGCGCTATGGGACTCAATGACAGATGTATCCAAGCTGATACAACTTTGCATCGCGAACAGCAGTACTGCCTGCTGTTCAGTTAAATGGATTCGCTACTTCCACTTTTTCTCCACTGACCAGTATGTGCCTGACCTACAAAAACAACATGGTAAGGAGGAGTATGCCACATTGGCAACAGCAAATGATAACCTTTGCTCTGCCTATTTCGGGATGTTCCCTCCAGCCTCATCGGCATTTTTCTTTTGGCCCAGTGTTACAGCTGTTCATCACTTTCAAGGTATTACAATGCTCTTTCAAATGATAGACCGGTACCGATGTTTTAGCCGGTATCTCAGGCCTTTTCCAAGTCAAAGGAGGTGTTAGATATGGGTTGTTGAAGAGGTCATCTGCAGCGGGCGATTTTGCCTCGAACCAGGAATCGTCTCATGAGCTACTCGGGCGTGGTGGCACAATGTGTAAGAGATTGGCTTTGAACTCCAGAGGCAACGAGTTCAAATCCTGTCAAAAATCAATCTTCCTCTTAAACAAGAATTCCGCTGAGCATGAAATCAACCCAACGGAACTTCAGCGCAACCAACCGAGAAACGGACACTACGTCAATGACTTGCGAAAACCAGGAACAATATGATATTCTGATCTGATCACGCAAGAATGGACTAGATGTACCTCCATGTTTAATGAAGACCCCTCTTATTTCTTGCTACACTTCGCTCTGACCCATTATTCAGTGTAATAATCATCACAAGACGTAATTCCAGCTTCTTCTTCATGGGCTAACACGGATGGTCCTTCCCAGTCTTACTTTGTAGACAAACAGGAAGTTTCCCTTAAAATGAATACAACACAACCTATTACTCGCTGTCAGTTGTCCACACGTAAAAGGACACCAAAACGATTTATATGCAAACTCCAGTTCCGACTGCTATAACTTAATAGTGCCTATAGCATGTTCTTGTCAACAACTTTTCTATATCTACTTAACAGCATAGGTGTTCACTGCACTGAACTGCCGAAATACCCACAGCACGCAACTGGATATATACTATTAAAAATCAGAGTCCCAGGAAAC